TGTCATTAGCACCTCTAGTAATATATTTACTGAGAAAAATGGTGACGTGTTCAATACTTATTTTACCCGCTGTATCTGAAATGCTCAGAACTTCAATAAACAGAATCAATGAATGATGAAGGCTCACAGGAAAGGTTGATGGAAGAAGCAACAATTAAATGCACTAATTTAAGACACAACTAAAAAGGTTTTATGACCAAAAATAGAAAATGTCGACATACAGTATTTAAGACTTCGTGTTGCTCTCTAAAATGAAGGGTAAAGAGCTGGACACCCGGCCAGTGCACTGATGTCGCTGAAGGATTTGAACAGTAAATGTTTTAGAGATCAGTTTTTCTGGACTGTATTTGAACAAAGAGTTCAAGTTAATGTTTATTATTGTTCAAGATATTCCAGAGTTACAGTGAGGTGAAGAACAGAGGTTGTTTGCCTGTCTGAGGCGGTGCAGAGATGGATCCTGGCCAGTAGAGGGAGCAGTTTCATTCCAGGGGCGTGGCCAACAGTGGCCTTGGTCCYAATCTGCAGCCACCTCACTGTTCTGAGGAATATATACTTTTAAGCAACATAAAAACTAAAAAGCATAGTTTCCACCATTGATTGGGTGGATGGTTTTACACATGTTTTATTAGGAATCTTTCTTACACATAGGTGCAGCTGCTCACATGACGATGGACAGAGGGTATTAAGTCCACTCTTTGATCCATGAAGGGGGGACAATAAGTTTGGGACTTTTTAGGACCCTGGCTGCAGACCCCCCTGGTCTTCAGACTGAGGCGGGCCTAAGTTCTGAGACTCAGTTTAACTTTTTTATCTCTTCTTTTCTGGTTGATTTAAAACAATTATTAAATACAAAATATTTTACACACTGGAGTTATTTTTTATTTCATGTTTCATCCTTCAACAAATTGTAGTGTGATGCCCACCCTGACCTCTTGGCCCACAAGCTGACGATCACTGCTGATCAGTTATTTTACCTTTATAAAATGTTCTTTACATAAAAACCTGCTCTATAAACACTGGAGATGGAGTCAGTCTGACATCTGTCATCAGTATGAAACATCAAATGAAACTAGTATAAAAACTATCTGATGATAAACTAATGCAGAGGAAAATTCAAAGTGTTGACTTGAGTTCTGTTTGTCTCCACAACAGATGAGGTCCTGCAGCCTCAGGCTCAAATCTGAAAAGAGGAGTTTATTAAATTAATCACCCAACAGTTTATCTGACTRTTTGTACAGAAATACAACTATTTACAGGTTTTAGATCACAGTACACAAACATCTGTAGTGACTCAGCTAATTCTGTTAATATGCTCAGAAAAACAAAGAAAAATAAAATCTTCTTCACTTCAAAAGGTAATGTCTGCAGGTCTGAATATTAACTGATACTATGTGACCCCTCACAAAGCAGAACCMCTTCCAAACAGAACTGAAGAAAACAGTAACTTCATGAAATTTGGACACCAGCAGTCGTGTTTGACTGCATGTTGACTTTTCGCAGGTTAAAGATGGACGACAAGGACACAACCTGTTGGATCGGGACAAATGTGACCAAACAGCAAAAGCTCTGAAATCCATGTTGTAATCTGAGAAGTCAGGGTTTGTCAGTGAAGCCCCCCAGACTCAGCCAGCAGCAGAAGCTGGCCCCGCCTCTCCCCACACGAAGTCGTAATAAAGTCTAAACAAGCAATCCAAACAGGCCCTCAGATGTTCCCAGTCCGTAACCAGAGGCGTCAGGGTTTAGGTGATGTCCTTCTGTCTGGGCGGCCGGTGAATGTTTCTGACCACACACTTCACCATCCACTCGATGCCTTCGTTTACTCCGTCCCTGCAGCAGAACAGGCAGAGCGKTGTGAAGAGGTTAACACAGGATTTAAAAGGAAACAGTGTTCTTCTAAACTTATTCTAGAGACCCATTACCACAGCCAGTAAACAGGAACCAGTCAGTGTTATTAGGGCTGTCCTGATTCCACAGCACTATTAGAGATATCAGTCCAAATTYAGCCAAAACGTGAATAWCAGWTTATATCGGCCAGCATCTAAAATCTTCTATATAAGCAGTCTGTTCCAGTGGTCCATTCAGGATTTCTAACCAGCAGCGCTTGGATTCAGCATAAATAACTTCAGTGACCTTAAATAGGTATTTTATATTTTAAAAGTATATTTTGTTTTTATTGGATTTATTTAGGTAATTTTACAGGGTCTTCTATATCAGGGGTTCTTAACCTTTTTGATCTCGGGGCCCAATTTATTGAACATAAAGTGGCATGAGGCCCAGTCACATATTACCAATTATACGGATCAAAATGATAATTATTCTAAATCTTGATTTAATTTTTATTGTATTTACATTATAACTAAATTAAATACACTTACAAGTAAGTGTATTTTAAGTACACTTAAAGGTAAAACTCCTGTCAAATAATCACAAGATGTGATTATGCCAAAAAAAAATTTATATTGTAACCTGCCCATAACAATTATTTGAACAAACGGTCAGTCAACAGACCACTCAGTCTTATATATATACTCAAAATCAATGCTGTCCCACGGCCCTCTGCGGCCCAAAGTTAAAAACTGTTGTTCTTTTGAGGCCCTCAAGGTGGCGATCACAGCCCACGATTGGGCCGCGGC